TTTAATTATCACAAAATATTACATGTCGTTTTACTTATACCAAGATCACTAATAAGACCTTAAGTCGTAAAGTTCATTTTCATAGTTTGAGTCATAAATTCTCGTGACATGACCATGAACCTCATTTATTCCTCTACCAAATACTAATCTCATATTAGTTGAACCTTCCAAGTACCTGATAATCCACTTCACAATTTGTCAACGAGCTTTTCTTGGATTAGCCATATAACGACTAACAATACTCACTTCATGTGCAATATATGGTATAGTACAAATCATGACATATATCATACTTCCAACGACGTTAGAGTAACTTAAAATGAGCTACAAAAGGGGGTACTAACTGTCTTTACGTTGTGCATTCCAAATCCCCTTAGAACTTTCTCAAAATATCTCTTTTGAGATAAGCATAATCTTTGAGCTCTCTAATCTTGTATGATCTCTATACTAAGAATTCTTTTGTTGGACCCAATTCTTTCATTTTAAATTTACCACTTAATTGTATCTTCACCTTATTAATCTTAGTTGGGCACTTACATGCAATTAATATGTTATCAACATAAAGAAGCAAGTAAATATAAGAGTTGTCAGATAATTTATTATGATAAAACAACTATCATACTCACTTTTTATACACCCAATATCAACCTTGAATGAGTTAAATAGCTTATACCATTACTTGGGGTGACTGCTAGAACCCACATAAAGACATCTTCAACAAACACACATGGTCTTGTTTTGGTACAATAAACTCCTTTTGGTTGTTCATGTAAATCCTTTCCTCTAAATCACTATGAAGAAATTAGACAGTCTTTACATCTAGTTGTTTTAAATCCAAGTCATGTAGATACACCAAAACAAGAAGCACTCGAACGGAATTGTGTTTCATAATTGGAGAAAAAACTTCATTAAAGTCAATATCCTGTTTTATGTAAAGCCTTTTGTACAACATTGCTTTGAACCTTATTTAATCTCTTTTCTTGAATATCTATTTGCATCCCATAATCTTATAAGCAACTAGTTTCTCAACAAGCTCCTAAGTCTAATTCTTGTGGAAGGATTCAAGCTCTTCTTTCATGGCACCAATCCACTGTGATGCTTCATCACAATTAAATGTCTAATGAAATGATATGTGTTCCTCTTCATTAATGCTTTTGACCATTTTGAGTGCAAAAACAACAAAATCACCATACTTTTTTGGTGCTTTAATTTGTCTTCTTGGTCTATCTTTAGCCAATATATACTCAAGCTTTATTATTGTGACTTCATCATGTGTCTTCTCTAGATTATGTATAGATGTAAGCTTGGTTGACAACTTTACTTTTCCTTCCAACACCAAATCACATTCTTGTTGCATGAGGAGGGCACTTCTTCAATAAAAAAGAAAATAATTACAAAAAAGAATTCTATGTGAATTATTAACTCTCACAAATGTGCTCACTAAAGGATTTGTATCCTTATATTTTCTCTGAATGATTTGTTGCAATCTTTCTATGATTATGTATACTAGCATTTAAGTAATACAAGCTTCCGAGTGTGAATGATTACTATCAACTAAACCATTAAATCAAGTAATAGATTATAACTTTTTACCAATAATAATAGTAATTGTTATTCAAGCCGCTTATAACAATTATTTTATCATATTATATTTTTATCCATCTCTCTATCATGTTATTTTCTTATTTTATTATTTTTACCAAAGAGACCTGTAGGTTATTTTAAAAGGGACTTGGAAAAATAGAAGTATCATAATTTACAATTGAAATTCTCTTTCTCCTTGACAACCAGGTCTTCTTTATTTTGTGTCTTTCATGAAGACCATGTGTAACTAAATTTCTATTTCAATTCAAGGAATAATTGAATTTTGATTATACAGAATTATGAGATTTAATTAATTTTATTTTCTCTTTTTTATTTTTTGGTATTTATATATGTATTTTTCAATTATATTCATTTATTAAAATTATATTAGTGATGCAATAAAGACCTATTATACAATTGATAGGAAAGTATACTACAAATTAGAATTTTAAATTTGTATTTATTCAAGTATTTCAATAACCAATGGCAAAATAACATGGCTCAATATAAAATAATTGGTCAGTTATTGCGTGAACATATAATATTGTTTAAATGAAATAAGCTTATAGGTTTATTAAAATTGAGTTTCTCTAAATCTTAAAAAAGTCATAACTAATTAAGAAGTTGCTACTTGTTGATTTATCATGTGACAATCAAATAATTAATATTTTATTGGAGTGCATTAGGGAAAGAGATTAGAATTTTTGAATTTATAAAATTAAGAAATGAAGTTAATTTTTTTAATAGACTATAAGTTAAAATTTGTAAAAATGTTTGCTTTAAAACATATTTAAGCCAACAGAAATTTCCATATTAATTTTTTAAAATAAATATAAATACCTTGTTAGTAAGATTATAAGGATATCCAAAATAGTTATCAAATATATGCTTTCTTGTTTCTAGCCATAATAATAGCCACATACGATTTAATAGTCCTTGCTAACTTGTTTGGCAAACATTTGAAGGCCCATCGTTACTTCCAAGTAGTCTTCCTTAACATCTAATTTCTCCTTGTACGAGCCACGATTTGATTATTGAATTTCTTTTTCATAGGGGAAAAGGTAGCAGCGAAGCAACCTCCAAATCTAATCATGTCAAAACAGGACAAAAGGTATTGAACACGGCATGGAAACGAGTTAAACGCTTGATGTCGGTGTTTTCGATCCTTATTAGCAAATGCATCTCAAATGCATCTAAATGTCTGATTTTATCTTTTTCTTTTATACACTTTCTTATCTCTGTCTAAGAAAGTAAAAGCTGTACTCTTTACAAAAACAATATCATACAACAAAAGAAGAAAGAGTAGGTGGATTTACTGTGGATTTTCAACAATTTCACCAAACACACTACAATTTTAATCGCATCAAATCCACTTGATAAGCTAGGTAAGAAGATCCTGCTCAGTCAACCAGCCCTGATTGTGGCAAAATCTCATAGATGACAAAGTTTTGCCAACAGCAAATCTGCAATAACCCCAAAATCTCCTTTATTTATTCATTAAAAAATAAACCTATTGATCAGGCACATGATTTAGTCCCAGTTTAGTTAAAATTGAATAAAATTAATTTTATCAGAATTAATTTTGAGTAGTTAATGAAATTACATACTATACTATCTTAATTTTTTGAAACGCCGGCTTGTAAATTTAAATAACATAACCACTCTCTAAAAATAAATTTAAAAAGTTGTTAGTACATGACTGTTCTGTAAAGTTATGTTTAATTTTGATTTATAATAAAAAAAATTTATGAGAAAAAAATTTCAAGTTTTACATTTATGATTTATACAAAGTACTTTGAAAAGTAGTTATAAAAATATTCTCTTAGAGCAATTATATGCACGCATCTACTTTGCATAACAAGGCTTATTGGAGTAGTTTAAACCATCTCCAAAATAATGCAGAACTGTTTCTAATATCTTTTTTGTTGTAGCATGGTACCAAAAAAATTTCTATATTAACAATTTAGATCGCTTAATAATTAACTAATCATACAGTGATATTTTTTTAAATGATAAAAAAGTTTTAAGATTAGTTGACAAAATAACTAATATAGAAAGTATTTTTTACATCAATTAAAATTTAATGTAAAATTTGTGATTTTTTAGATGGGTTATGCTGTAATATTGGAATTTTTTTTAAAAATAATTTAATATTTTTTAAAATAAAAATTAGATTGGAGAGTTATTTACCTATAAAGAAGATATTAGCATCATTCAATATTTGTTTAAAACAATAGTTACCTTAAATTTATTGTGGTTGTGGTGGCAGAGAGTAGGTTGTATTTAGGTTGCTCCAATTGTGAATCTTACGTGGTAGTTAGCATGGCATGGAGAGGAAAAGCTTGCAAGTCTTGCTCACGGTTTAGGTGAGATGGGTTCATGCTCACGTGCATGAGTATGAAAGATTGAAAAACTCGTGCTTTTTTTTTTCTTTTTTTATATCCTTTTGTTCTTAATCGATTTGTTGTGCTGCTCATGTTTAGTGTTTATAATTTTGTTCTATATATGTACGATGGACAAACATACAAAATACATACTAGTTACATAAATAGATAAGAAATTTGCATAAATTGAAGTCAAGTCCCTTCAAAATTTATGATTATACAGGCAAGAAATTAGAAATTTTTTTAAATCAATTGCTAAATAATTATTATAAAAAATAATTTAAATATAATTTTTTCATCTATTCTAAAACTAAAAATGTAAAATATCACTTTTTTAAATTAGTTCTATCATAATCGATGTAAAAACAATTTAAAATATAAAATTTTAAAGACGTGCGTTAATGAAACAACATAAATTAAAGACAATGAATATCAACTCTTACATTCTTGAGCTTCTGTTAACATTTTTTACTATATAAACACAAATTCTTACTTACATTTAAGTATGTCAATGATGAATTTTACGCTATTTTATGTTTTCTTTTTAGTTAATCTATTTGTTTTATTGTATATTTTTTATTTACAAACTTAACAAAAATTAAATCTCCTGCGTACGATTAATGGTAAATATTGACATCAGTAAATACAAACATTGACTAATCATTGACACTGTTGACAAATTGTTTACTAAATTTTTAAAAGAATATTGCCGCTATTAACAAATATTGATTGAAAAAATACTTTATAGATTGATTATTTTATTATTAAAGTAAAAAGTTTATATTGATTGTTATAATTGATGAAAAGAAATCATGATATACTAGTTCAAATGTTTTTTAATCAATGTTAGAAATGATTTTTCACTAGTGATAATTGAAATACATATATAAATAAATCTGTATCACGTAATTTGTTTAGAACGTGTTTTTCTATTGAAAAGTTCAAGAATTGACTTTCCAACTATAAAACAAACAAGCCCTAAATAGTGATAACAGGGAGAGTTTTTCTTTCTTTCTTTTGAAATGATCAAATTCAAGCCGTAGGGGCAATAATGTCCATCAAGGAGGACCAGGTTCCTGTAACTGCAATAACTAACCCAAAGACCACAACTGCCCCATCTCTCACCACACAGCTCCAGCCCAACTCCTCTTTGAACACTAAATAGTGAAACATGGCAGGGAACACAAAGCTAAGAATAACACAAATGCTACTCCCCATCAAAGACACAAAATCTGCAAAATTTGGCACCAAAAGGGCCACCAAGCATACCACCAACACCAATAACCATCTCAACCACAAGCAATACTTAGTGTCACACAACCGCCTCTCAACCACCTCATAAACTGGATTCATCATCAACGGAAAAGTGACAAACAGATTAATGCAAAGACCCAACTGCACCAAAGCACTCACCGTTCCTTGTCCTAGATTGGTAGTGATAATCCCTTGAGTTTCTTCACCAAAAGCAATGTAACCCAAAGCACCAAAAGCCGCATACAACAGAAAAACAAACACCATCGCCACACCCAAAACCCTACCAAATTTGTCCTTTTCCTTAGCCTCTGACTCCAACGGTAAAACCAACCCTATTCCTTCAAAAGCATACACAGCCACACCTAAACCGTAGAAAAACATGGACCAACCACCAAAAGCCTTCAAAGGAGGCCTATTCTTAAAAAACACAAACACATCCTCAACCATCACGATACTCTTAGCTGCAAAATCAACAACATCAGCAAATATACTCAAAGGAGCCAAATGGGTCAAAGTTGGAATCGCATTCAACCCCAACTGAAAGGGAAAGCAACCACAAAGAAACAACACCTTTGGCGCCAAAAACGAGGACAATGCTGAAGTGTCACCAGCCAGATGAGCCAAAGTGGTGGAAATGAAAATAAGGTAGCTGGCACAAAAACCGCAGTGGGAAAGCACGATCATGGCATCAATGGAGAATTTACCAAAGGTGCCACCAACTGCACACCCCAAATCGCCAAAAGAGTTGATTTGGGAGAACCCCACTTTGGATTCAACCTTGCGACGAGTGTGGACGAGGAGCATCATGCAGTGGTAAGTGAGGAATGCAACGAGGAAAAGCATGATCATGGCCATGAACCAACCCGTTTTCTTGAAGCTGTATGGGAGACCAAGCACGCCGCTACCAACGATGGAGATGAAGATGTTGGCAAAGGTCTTGGATTTTGAGGAGAGAGGTGGTGCCTTGGAGAGAAGAGGCGTGTCATCTCGAGGGGTTTCATGATGAAACCCCATTGGTATGATGAAAGGATATTGCTTCTTTTTTTGCGAAGAAGCAACAACATGCAAAGGGAAGAATGAGGAGGTGTGAAATTGGTGTGAATGTTAAGAATAAGGAATTTGTAATATGATTTGGAGGGAAGAGAGGCTGTGGTGTGACCTTAAGTCAAGGTTTGGCAAATGCTAATATAGTAAAGGGGTACTAATAGGCTGGGGAATTCCCTGTTGTGGTGAGCTTTGTTGGATGAAAAATAGAAAATATGCATCATTGGGTGTTTATTTGGGTTTCGGGTTCAACATGCATTGCAATTTGCAGCCATAACATGGGCTACCTTTGGAACCAACGCATGCTTGCTCAAGCTTATTTAATAAAATGATCTAATGCAGTTTAAGCCGGAGGGTATTTAATTTTGTGCTGACACAGAATGTGTAAATGATTTTTTTAATAATTAATCTCTAATTTTTTATAGGTAAATTTTTAACCAATAATACTTTCACATATGTTAAAGTGATAATTTTATTTAATAATAAATTATATATAATAATATATATTTCTTATAACTTATTATATATTTTTTTTATTGGTATAATTCTTTAAGTACAATATTCATAAAAAAATTTGAAGTATCAGAACACACACCTTTTTTTATATTTTTTTAATTCCGTCTTTAACTTAATAAAAAAACTATTTTAATATTAAACTTTGTAAAATATATTTTAAGTTAGTTCATACGGTTATTCTTAACCTTCACATATTAAGTGATATGTCCTGCCCCTAAAATGCATCATATGACTTCTCACAGGATCTTTATTAACATATATGATCAAATTTATTACGTTTTACAAAACTTTAAAGTTGTCATTTTCTCTCTCATTTGTCTTAAATTTTTATTGACGTCAATCGATTAACCTCTAACATTGGTCCAATTGTAGTTACTTTTTCATATATTTTCATTTCTCTTTTCTTTGTATTTTTCGGTTCTATAGTGAAAATCTTATTCGGTATAACTCCTAACAGATGTAACTCTTAGTGTGTGTGAGTATACTATTTTAATCTTATGTTAGTGTTTCATTAAGATGCTTGAATGATTCGTAGGTGTAATCATTGATTTAAAATCTTTTCTTTAAATTTCTTGAAGCATCTTTAGTGTCCCTTTATTGATGAACAAAGATTCTATCTCCTCTTTGGTTTATTCAAAGTCCAAGGACACAAAAAAAAAAAAAAGCCTCATTATATTCATTTCAAGTTCGGCTCGCATCAACTTGAAAATTTCTTTGCATAAAGATTAACTTATAGCACAAAATATAATTATTATCAACATATGTTTTAACACTTTTTTCAATGTGTAGGACCTATTATTTCTTTTGCAAAACCTTTTGATGAAAGAAAGACATTGAACTTTTCATATCATTCTCTAATGCTTTGTTTTAGACTATATAATACCATTTAGGAAAAGTAACATCTTCAGAATCAAAATGTTATTTAACATAATCTTCTTATTTTGTAAAACTATTTAGGAAGAACAAAACATTTTACATCTATTTGAAAAAACTAAGGGTTTTTTTTTTTGTTTTGATTTTATTTTTACTTTAATTATAAATTTTCTACTTTATTTTTATTCTATTTTTTATTTTCCAATATTAGTATATAAAATAGTATACATATATATATATTTTTGAATATCGAGCCAAGAATAACAATGCTCATATGAGTTTGATTCCTGAATTAGAGGAGCAGATTTTTTATTAAGTACACAGCTAAAATCAAGGGATTAACATCCCTAATTATACATAGCAATTTTTAATTTCTTTTCTTTCATATAAGTTAGATTCCTTGTAATCCAGGGTCCTAACTTGTTGTACCCAATAAGACTATTTATGCCTTCAGTATCACACATATTTTGGCAAGTATGCATTTTCTAAAAATAGAAAATATAATTTTTAATCTAGCAACATGTACAAAGTTTTAAATAAAGTCTATGCTTTCTTGCTAATATTATTAGCCTTGGGCTATTGATATAGTTTTATTTTCTACTACTTTACGTTGTCCACATGTAACTTGCTTTTGAGGACTCAATTGGTTCTAGGGGTGATTTTGTGTCTTGGTTCAAGAGTCCACAAATCAATTTTTCTGGTTCAAGTTTTCTTTCACTCTTATAATCTATGCATCATCTCTTTAAGCTTCTACGGTTGTCTTTGGTTTTATTTTAGAAATTACAGGGAGGTTTGATTGCTTTTGAAAAGCAAATCTTGCTCTTACTCTTGTCTAGGTTCCAATGGTGAGATTAGGTGAATGGTGTGCCTTAAACTTCCAATCTCTTGTAATTAAGGTGTGCATTAGGTGCATTGAGGTCCTTTTGTACTTTCTAAACTTTGCCAAAAATGTTGTGCATGATTTTCAATTTTAAAGTTAGTAGACTTTTATGGTCCCTATTCTATTTGTATCTCTATAAATTCATCTTCAAGTTTTGATAATTTTTTTATTAGGTGTTAATCTATCATTATATTTTATATAGATAGACTCGTTTGCTACTAAACTTTAAAGTTGTCTAGAAGTGAGAGTATATATCCAATAATTATTTTTCTTCCTTAAAATCAATTTTACCAATTAATCTTTCGTATTGAAGATATAAAATTTACAATCAAATGATTGGAAATGAAAAATATTAGGTCATCTCCCTTTTTAAAATCTACAAGAAACTTAGTTAGTAGTGACTGTTTTTTTTTTTTTTCTAAAATAAAGATTTGTTAAATATGTTAGGAACTGATTTTGTGACTAAATATTTTTTATTTCTAAATGAAAAGTTGCTGATATTAATGATCAATTTTAGAGATTGATATAATGATTGTAACACCTTAAATTTAATTTTAATTAAATAATAATTTCACAAATTGGATAACCAAATTTTTCATAAAAGATTTCGAAATAAGTGAAGGGTTACAAATTAATATCAAATAATTGCTACAGGACTAGTTCAATTACAGCAAATTTTAAAATAAAATCTAGGTCATATAGCAGTCCATACGTCCCTTCACTGAGTCTGATGCTGATCATCTTGATTACCTGAAAAATGAATGTAAGGATGAGTACTCTATACTACCCAAAAACACACAATCAATGTAGAATCTCACCTCCAGCACATTTCCAATACATTAAATAAACACAATCACAAGTAGCATTATCATACAGCTCATGTCAATTTAACACCGATGCACTCACGGCATCGACATTATTTCACATTCATAAATACAGTACATAAACCAATACATATGCACGCCAACCACACTCACTGTGGCACTGTGATCACAGATTTATACCATGAATAGTCACCGATTACCTCCGCCTCACGGATACCACGTGGGCAGTCATGGGTCGCTCAGTAAAGATAGTGGTCAGAGGTCTAGTCAGGAAGAGAGTGTGTGGCCTGTAGTGCACCCAATCCACAGTCGGTGTCACCACCACTCTCTCTTCCCCAAAGTATTTCTACCGTCCTCATCTTCCACACCCCAGTGTATCGCTGAACCATTCACAACACATTATAACGGCGCTAACATGCCTATTCACACATATTCCATTCACGCATGCAATAATCATGCTTACACGCGGTACATAGCCCACATTGCATTCAAATATACTGCACTAGACCCACATTCATTTCACATTACACGACACATAGCCAACTATTACACGGCCCTCGGGCCTACATTTGTCCACAATATCATTAATTCACCAATCAATGGCATTCCATCACACAATCACCCTCACGGGATCCAATTATTCTATCACACATCACATTGCTTATCAATTTCCATCAAACACACAATTTCTATCTTCTATCTCAGCCACATTGCATTAATCATCAAAACACACAAGAATTACAGTACATTGAGACAGGTAGAGTCCCCCCTCAACTTGGATTGAAGACCCACACGCTAAATCCACCAAGAAGTGCTCTCCCTCACAGATTTCATCCTAAACACATGGAGAAACTCCAGGAGAATCTAAGGAAACCACGAAACAGAGAAAGGGGATGAAAAATCAAAACCCTAACCATTAAAACTCACCTCCAAGCGTCCCCACACGAATTCAACCTTAAATCAAGCTCCCGAATGACTTTGGAGGCAATTAATCGGTAGAATAGGACTTTGGGAATGAGGGGATCTAAAGAATTTCGAAGGGAGAGGGAGAAATAATCCTTCCTGAACCCTAACCCCCTTTATATCCTTTTCTGGTCGTGACACTCTCGCTACAGCGAGATATTCTCGCTACAGCAAAAATCTCAGACGAATCTGCACCCTGATTTATGCAGAATCTCGTTACAGCGAGACTGCACCCAGAAATGCACCCCAAACAGTCGTTCTCTTGCTACAGCGAGAAAGTGACAGTTTCAGTCCTTCCTCCCAGGGCCCTCTTGTTATAGCGAGAATTCTCTCGCTGCAGTGAGAACAACCCAAAATTACTCCCTGTGCTTAGGCACTTAGCCCATTTCAGCCCAACCAATCATGCATACACACACACACACATACACACACACACACACACACACACACATATATATATATATACTCATATCCACAACATATATCCAAAATACACACATATATATACATTTAGATTTATATAAATAACAATAATTAATATTGTCAAAATTTGGGGCGTTACAATGATCGAATTTAGAAATAAATTTAGTGACCAATTTAGTAATTTTAGAGAGTGGTTTAATGATGAATTGTTCAAATAAATTTAGTAAGTAATTTTAGAAATTAATTTAGTAAGTATTTTTAAGATTGATAGTAGAGATTAATGTAGTGATTGCTTTTAGAAATTAATTTTAGAGATCAAAGTAATGACTAATATAGAATTGATTTTAGACACTAAGTTAGCAGCAGATTCAATGAGGGATAAAAAAGTCTCACAACTACTGCCATAGAATCCAAGGCCTTATATTTTTATTTTTTTTTATGTTCCAACTACCTCATATCTCACATCTAACCTACTTAGTGAAGGGGTCCTT